AACCCAACCCCGATGGCAAACACCGGGGGTGGCAAAGAACACCGGGGGGGGGAGTGGGTGGAATGAAAAACGGCTGGATACTTGGCATATATTGAGTCTGTATTTACGCTGAATTTATTGCAACGCAAGCTTCGAGTTTTTGTTTTTGTTGTCACGCCGTACAAGACGATGAGGCGCTGTAGAGAGAGAGCCCACAACTGGTCACCAGATGAATTTCAAGCACCGCTAGACTCTTGAAAATTGTTCCTAGCATTGAGGGTATTCCTTCATGGTTGGTCGTGATGGGTCGCGGGCCATTGCATGTATTGCCAGTCTTGGTGATGCCCCGCCCGCGTGGCTGGAACTGCGTACCGTCGGTTGTAAGGCTCAAGAAAATCCCACCCAAAGTTTCAATCCCAAAACATGAAATAGGGTCGCTGACGTAGGTGCAGACACTGCCGCATTGTACGTGGTTCGGTCGAGAGTGGTGCAAAGAGGGCTTTGTCCCGTTTTGACTTGTGCGGTCGTCACTTATTCTATGTGCGTCAACCCTGGGGGGTTCGGGGCTCAACCTTTGGTGAAGTAACACCGACGTGGCCGATCATTCGTGGCCGTCGAATCCCAGCCCTTGAAGGCCTCGAGGAAAGCCCGAACAAGCATAAACGATACCATTGAAGTTCCTCGTCTTCGCCATAAATCCACCTTGTTCTACCCTGTGGCGGCACTCCAGGACATGAAGCTCGTAGCTCGCAGTCGCCCGGTGCTCGACTACCTGCGCCGTGTCAAGTACGTGGTCATCGGGAGCTCCGTGCTGTGGTGCCTGCGCACGGTACTTTTCGTCACGAGCGCCTGTATGGACAAGCCCTTGCCGGTGCTTGTGTGGGCGGTCCTGCGGGGAGGTACGGCGGCGACGGGCATAGCGACGGCCTTGCTCTATTACGTGGTCATCGGTGAGTCGTACCTTCTATGATACGTCGTCATCGGTAAGTCGATGCCATTGAAGCCAGAACGTGAACGCGCGGGATGCGCCGTGTGCTGTACAACGATTCATTTGATTCAGGCGCGTGCCAGGTTTGGCGTCAAACTTCACGCCTGTTCGCTAAATGTTTGGAGGCCTAAGCGGGTGAGCACGGTGTACTTGATCTGTCTTGCTTCTTTCTGCCCGTCGCCCCGAGGTCTTCGTGGGTATCCCTGGTAACCTACAAAGGGCAGGTTTTGAGCTTGGTTCTCTGTCTGAAATGAAACGTTTGTCCTCGCAATTTGCGGTGGACAACGAAAAACAATTAGATACATGAATACCCTTTTCAAGTTTACGGCCGGCGAGGCAAAGGGACGGCTTCTTCACCTTCCTCGCGACTAACAAAATATGGAAGGCACCCCAGGACGGAATTTGGACAAATACACGAAGAAAGCAGCAACGCTCCTCCTGTGTGATTTTCCTGTGCCACTGTGTGCCAGGGTCAAACATTGCGGCCAGAGCGGCCAAGGCCGCCGCCAGCGAGGGTTCCAGGTGGCCCGACGGCGGTGGCCAGGCAAGTGGCACCATGAATGGGAATGGGACGGTTTCTCCTTTATGAGTTCTCTTGGGGCGGTGGTGTAGGGCTCTCATTAAACAACAAAACACACCGACTTGGTTGCCCAACACGCACGTGTCATAATTAATACGTTCACAGAGATCAAAGGGTCAAAGACAGGAGTTGTGTTATGGGTAAAGGTCGGATGCATCTCGTCGACCGTTCTGTCGCACCGTGAGTGAGAAATGGGGGGAGAGGCACCGTGTTTGATATACGGAACCCCTGTGGGATTTTTCTTTCCGTGTGGTGTGATGCACGCGCTTCTCTTGCTTCGACCTCGTGCCTGCTTCTCGTTACGACAAAGAGCACTACACAAAACCAGTCGTACCGGGAAAATGCGCAGGCAACCACCAAAATACACGCCCGTTTTCGACCCAAATCTCATGAAAATAAAATGAGAACACTCCAACCGGCGAGCGAGCGTGGATGGGCGTTCGACTAGAAACAATCCATCTTGCATCACCTGCGCACCAGGTCCAAAAGAAATTCCAAGCGCTGGCAACGATTGTGTCCAACGGCGCCAGTCAGTTCATCAAAACCCCCATCGCCTCGATGGGCGAGGCGAGCGCCCGTGTGTACGTGGATGGCGACAGCGAGGAGCCTAAATTGTTCCAACGGATAGCAAGTGGCATGAGGTGGTCCACCCGGAGGCGAGTAGACTCCGGCACGTCGAGCCGGGGCAGTTTCTCGAAAAAGGCGGCCGAGGGCGGCGGGGCTACAGCGCCGCTACGGTCGGGGACCGGGGACAGTATGAAGGTGCCGGACGAGTTATCGTCGGAGACAAAGCAACCGATGGCGGATACGCGGGGCGCGCAGGTGGGCCCTGCCGACCCGGCTATGAGCCAGGGGCGTGTTGTACTGTTGGTTTGGCTGGATGGGAGGCTACTTTGTAGCGGGGAGCGGTTGTTCGACATAATTATTGTGCTCTGCCACTATTCGGTGCACAATGATTGGAATCCGGTGCACACAAACGCACGCTGTGCAGGGAGATTGGAGCATGAATCTACAGTCAGTGTAGTAGCCGATTTCGAATGATCTGCTGGCCTCGCTTAACGTGAGGAAAACACAAAACATAGCCCCTGCCCATACGCAAACACCCGCGCCCGTCACGAAGTACGTTCTTCACAACCTGACTGCCCTGTAGATGATTCAATTGTGCGTACCACCACAGCGCCCGGCGGAGAGAGTCTTGTCTGTTAGCCTGATCTCACGCGAAGGCGCTGCGCCTTGTAGTGGACGGGAACACTCCGTCGTATGATTTGACGATATATATCGCGCGTGTAGTATACGTGGAAAAGAGAGGTGACGAAAACCCAAGTGCGAAGTACTGTCCTCAGCTGTCCGAGGGGGGGCGAAACATGTCTTCACGGAGTGCTTTCGTTGATGCGAGCCGACGCGTGCATGCATACATGTGCATAGTCTCTACAAAGCCCAACATAACTCCTTTTCCCACCACCTACGTGATTCACGTCGCGACTCAGGTTGGAATGCGAGATGGGTTTACGTTCGACGTGCGCAGTGCTGACGACAGCGATGGAGAGGGCGACGGAAAGTCGAAGTATGGAGGGGGGGGGGGTACTCATTTTTTGCATACCTTGATAGCTGTTTGACCATTGACCACTCGTCCTCGAGAGCACGGAACATTGTTCCCGCAGTTCGCCAACGTATCATGTTCGCCGATTCAAGCCCCCTCCATACATCCCTTGCTTTGTTTGCTCAACCCGCTTCCAAAACCAGTCTGCAGCTTTTCCCCTCCCATATCGTGTTTTCTTCAGCACTCTACATGTACATTTCCCCGATTTCCTAAACTTCACCAGCTGTTTCCAGAGCCCATTTCTCTGTACAGCCGTATCGCGCGCCTTCTGTGCGTCTAGGAACAAACATTTTGACGGTTGTTCGCCTGCTTCCGACTTAGGATGATTCTCCCTGCAAGAGTGGACACATACCTCCGCAACCCGTACCCTTCCCGAAGCCTGTTCGACCCCCATTATTTTCTACGTCACTTCTCCGGTAGTCTGTCATTGGAGATCGTCAAAATGTTTTTCCTATCGTGTTCAACAGGGTGGTTTCCCTAATAGCTTCCTGGATCAGCCGTATCTCCTTCTTAGACGAGTTCACCACCACCCCTTCCCTAGGTGTAAATATTTTGTTTATCACACCAAAAATGCACCATCATTTTAACTATCCCCTTCATGAATTCGCTCCTGTCCCCAGGTACCCAAGTGTGAAGGATCTAGGGGGGTGCGGCGGAAAAGAACGAGGGGGAGAAGAGACGTGGCACACGCCGGTCTCGCCGGCGACGACGCCAACACCGTCTCCTCCTGAGGGTTTCACTGACGGAAGCGAGGTCCCTGAGGAGAGGAAGAGCGAACTCACCGATTGCGAGGACGGCGATGCGAACAGCGGCGACGAAGGTTGGGGCGAAGACCAGCAACGACGCAAACCAGGGCTACAGAAAAGGTCATCGTGGAGCCGGGCTCACCTTACTTCAAGCGACGCCTCTGCCGGGTCAAGCAGCGAGAGCAGAAAGAAGACCGAAGAGTTCTGGGAACTTGAGGAGCTGGAGGAAGGCTCGTTCTACAACAGCAGCTAACGTGAAGCGTTCGATCAGAGCAGTAGACAAAATTCAATTGATCCGATTTGCAGGAGGACTCCACGGACGAGGAGGAGAACCACCGTTAACACGGTTCGTTCTGACGGGTTCGCACACCCATCATTATTCAGATTCCGATATTCATCGTGCTCACCATTCTGTGAGAAAAGTGACCACAATAGACTCCTCTAGCATAGATATATGAAATCCCGCAACGAGGAATCCATTCGCCGGGACCCCTTGCGACCTAGACAGGCAGAAATTCGGAGAGGGACGCGTAACGGCTAACATCTGATCGCCCTGTGTCAGCATGTATGTGTGGCACGCCACTTAGTTGGACCCACGCCCCTCCCCCGTTTCGATTAGCAACATGTGTTGTAGTTTTCACAGGCATTGGAAAAATGTGCAACTGCAACGACCGACGAGTTAGAGAGGTTCTCCGCTTGTTGGCCCAAAGCGATTTGTCTAAGTAGTGCTACTACGCACAGGATGGCTGTGTAGGTAATTATCGTCCCACTGATTGTACAGTGGACATGAATACAGGTAACATACAATTAGTATGTGTCTTGTAGGAATGTCGTCCATCGCTCGCTGTGGTAGTGGTGCGCCATACAAGCCTGGGTGATCACAATTAGTCATTCGTACCCGGACACAAGCATGCCGTGCGAGCGCTTCGCAGTCCTCCGCAGGACAGGTTGTACTTGTACGTAGATATATATTTTTTTCTCCCATCATTGGAGTCTGTCGTCTGCCCTTCTGGCCCCTATCCTCCACTTCTACTAGCTAGACGACCCAACCGGGGTCACATAGGAGGGGGGGGCTGGACCCCCTCCTGCGGTTCCTGCCTGAGATTTTTTTATCGCGAGAAGGGTACAGCAATCCCTTCCCTCGCAACTTATGAAGTCAATGAAGTTTACTAACAACGAGCTTTGGAGCGCGTCGCTTCCACCGGAGACCAGGATTTAGTTAGCGAGAAAAAACTCACTCTGTCGGGACTCGAACCCATGACCTGGCCCTTAGCAGGCTGCGAGGCTACCCGCTAGACCACCGGGGCGACCGCTACTCAAGCCACCCTGGCACGGAAATGTCAAGTTTGCGGGTCGGGCCCCCAAAAGTTTTTTTGATGGATCACCGCAAGTGCTGCGCAACCGTTTCGTGTTGCGTAGGTGTAGTACTATTTTAAATGAACGTTTCGTGGTGCGGATTATCTCTGTTTTTTCGAATGGTGTTGCTGGAAATTGCAGACGGCCTTCTCTTGTGTCTCCCCTGCATCTGTCTGCGGTGGCCTATTCCTTGAATTGTACAGGCTTTGCTTGTCTCTAGCAGCCGTTTGGTTTCCGTTTCCGCTCCAACTTGAGGGGGGTTTGCACCTATAGATTTCAAGGGAACAACCGGGCGGCCATCGATCTATCGCTCCGAGTTGTGAACGGGCTTACCCCCACCCCATTGAGTATGAGTAGACGCCCCATGAAGGGCTGTACTTGGCAGACCGTATGGCGCTACCCGCAGCAGTCGAACATCGGCGAAGATCTTGAATGAACAACCCGGCTACGTCCAGCTTCTAATGTTTTCTGGGGCGTCGATAGGCCTTGTTGTTTTAGACTATCTCTGTGTGTATGTATTGTATATTATTGCCCCGGGGTAGACTGCGGCATTTGTCGCCTTCGTGTTGCCCGGAACTCAGCAAAAAAAAGCGCAATGAATGTACACCATTTTTATGTCAGCCTGGCCATGTTTCCACGCCTGGTTTGCCCCGCGGCATCAACGACACGGACGTAATTCTTCATTCTGTCGAGGATGCGATACGCACCCATGCCGGCATTGAGTCTGTTCTTCCCTCGGATGGCTCAAAAACCACGATGTCTGATGCCAGCACACGGAACGGACAGTCGGCCATGATACCCTATGCTCCAAGGTAGGTCATACTGTTCTTGTGTAGGCGTCTTGGCCCGAACGTAGTGTGTATTGCATTATGTAGCTGCACTCAAGAACCTCTAGGCCGGGTCTGGGGTTCTTGGTTCCTCCAAGGTTGGCTGTGCTACGAATGGTCGTTATCAACCGAGCAAAAAAATGGTGTTCACGTGCTCAGATATTGATTTTTTTCGGCTCGACGCCAAGTTTTTGAGTGCAGTTCCTAAGTGTACTCCCACTCAACCTTGTCCAAGACTCCCAAATACCTTGTCCCAAACAACAGCCAACGGAGTACGTTTGTTTGCGAAGGGCGCAAAACAAGGCATGTTCCTGCCTCCCTGCATAGCAGGCTGCGTGCTGCAGGTCGAACGCCATACTAGGCGCACGCTATTCGTGAAACATCCCGACAAAAGAGCTGCTTGCTTCAACATTTTGTCCCACCGCATGCCATGCACTCCGACGATGAACGATAGGGCGGGCCCGCAGATAAAAGGCTCACGTAAATGTTCGCGGAAATTGAGAAATTGGATATGGGGACACAGCCATGGCGAGGACTCTACTATACACTACTCTCTGTTAGCTACCATATGATAACCTGTCGACGGTGGTGGCAAAATAAGGAACTGATAGACCTGACTGAGTGTGTAGTCGGCAGCTCGGCAGGATACGAATCTCCGAGATCTCCGGGGTGGGGGTACGCAGATAGATATACATGATGGGTGTGATGGACTTGACGCGCTAGGCTCTGCTTGCCTGCCCATGTCTCACTCATTAATCGTTGATCAAGGAACTGGAGTCACTCGTTTGTGCAAAACGCTCTCGACAAGAGCCCGCGAGCGTGATAAGATAGTACACGCGCCGACACCCCGATCACGATATCGTGGAGTCAGTTGACGTCGGTAGGGAAAGATTCGGGAGGGAGAAACCGGAACACAAGGGCAGCAGCAGCGGGCGGTTTTTTGCCCGCGCGCGCCAAGGAGATCCAGGCAAAGCATTTGGAATTCAAGGACAGCTGCTGTGGGCGGTTGTTACCAGCGCGCGTCAAGGAGATCCAGCTACGTACAATAGGACATCGTGGCCCATTTTTTGCTGCGTAAGTTGGCGGAGGAAGAGATGGTGATGAGGGAGAAGGACAAGACGGAGAAGGGATATGAGCATCCAAGGGAGACAACGATGCACCGGCAGGAGCAATGGCCCCCGGGAGAAAGACGGCCGGGACAGCTGGCGGAGCTGGGGTGAGCGGCCCAAGCAGTAGTCGTAAAGCGCCCAAATTCCCGAAAGATTCCGCGTAGGCCATGAGCTGGCTGCGGAGAATGCGGAATTTCCTGGCTAGCGAGGGTTTGGAGCAGACCCTTGCAGACACCCATCGCACTGACGATGTTCCTGTCATCAGCTGTTCGGATCGCACAGGGTTCATGGTGCTGCACTTGTCATGGCACACAAGCGGGCATGGAGATTCCTGCTCGAAGCGACCTACGGCACGGTTTTTGAAGAACGGTTAGCTGCTTGCGACTGTGTCCCTGAGGCGTGGAAGGTGATCCGCGCATGGCTTATGCCTACTTTCAAGCTGAGAAGACATTGCTTGTGCGGCGGCTGGAGACAGTTGAGATGCCGCCTGGCGAGGACCCGAAGTTTTTTTTTGCCAGAGTCGATGGCATCGTCAACACCATGCGAGCTGTCGGCATCGTAAAATCTGAGCGGTCTATTGTGCATATCATTGTCCACCAGCTTGCTCACGAATACGATATCGAACGCAAGTCCATCCTGGCCGACCCCACCATTTCCCAAGCGAAGGTGGAAAACGTTGTTCGCACAGCATACGCCAACATCGTCATGATGAAGGAATTGGACAAGGCGCATGCGCCATCGGCGGCAGCGGTGACGGCCGGTGGTTTTGCGTCCGGTCGTGGCGGCCACGGTCAGGGGGGGCAACAACGGCGGTGGCGGCAGCAGCGGCAGCAGCGGAAGCAGTAGCATTGGGTTCGTCCTCAGCCACCACCTGCACACCACCCACCTCCTGACTTCCTGACGTGGGGATCTGGGGGGCTCTATGACTGTGGACGCAACGCCGTCCACCCGCAAGAGGAGTCAGGTCCGCCGCCAGGCGCTCCGATGGGTGCCGTTCGTCGGTACGGGAGGTGCGGGAGGCATGGACTTTCACTCGGCGACTGCAGTGCACCACGACACTTTGAAGCCAACTGCACTGCCTGCGGTGAGTATGGTCATCGGCGCCGCACGTGGTGCACAACCGGCCGCATGCAACAGCACGTGCATGTCGGTGATGGAGAAGGTCTCAACGCGAGTGGCAACGACACTTTGCCGTACCAGCAACGAAAGCGACGACGCTGGACGAGGCATGGGCATCAGCCAGAGTCGCTCCTCCCCATGTTTGCGGATGGAGCGGTGGCATGGGGCACAGCAACTGCTGTGGGAGCGGCGACCGGTGGTGGTGGTTTCCCCGCTACGGTGGCGGGGGCAACGGTCGGGGCACAGGCACTCGTGGCGGGCGCAGCGGCAGCGGAAGCGGCGGCGGCACCGGCGGCAATTCGTGGCCGACAAACCGGCGCTGCATGTGCATCCGGGCCCACCACGTGCGTCGCCAGCAGGCGTGGCTTCAGCAGCGGAACCAACGGCGGCGACGGCGACGGGTGTTGGTGTTTTACGCGAGTCGTTGATGGGGGGAACGGCCGGGGCGTCGTCAGCAGCAGGAACGGTGGCACTGGAGGCGTCGTCGATCGGCGGCCCGGTAACCCCCGCTGTATCAACTGGGGAGGCGATCGCAACGCCCACATCAGCAGCTACACTGGCACAGCAGCGCAAGAAGCCGGGGACGAGTGCGATGAGGATTACTGTTGGTTGGACAATGGCGAAGAAGGCGGCAACAACAGCGGCGGCAGCGGCGACGGCAGTATCGTGGCGTTATCTGCTGGAAGTGGTCGGGGGCATCCCGCCGGCGCCCATCCGACCGCGCACCATAATATCTGCGTGGTGCGGGACGATGGGGGGCAATGCCAGGGATGGACATTCGATGGTGGCTGGAAGTGTGCGGCATGAATTCAGAGGCTACGAGCTTGGGAGCTACGGTGCAGGATGACCGGTGGTTGCATCATGTAGGGTTTACGCGCGATTCAGGCACGTTTGTGAGGAGTGTTATACTTCTTGGCTATGAAGTTTTAGGTTTCTTCCTGTTTTGTTTGTTGAAAATCATGAGTTGATAAATGTGTCGACGTATAATCGACTGATTTGTGCTGCGATGCGCACGACATGGTGCTCACCTACGGCCACACCGTGTTTTTCGTTTGTTGCGAGTACAGTTTGGACAGTCTAAGAAATCAGCATGCCGAATGGTGCAGCTGGTATTGTTCGATCACTGTTAGCACTGCTGTCGAAAATCATGGGGGGGGGAGGAATGTGAGGCTGATGCCATGATCTTCGCCGCAGTACAAGCAGAGTTCTAGCGGGCGTTCGGGTTTGGTTGTTCATTTTGTTGACGTGTTTCTGCGTTTTACCTGCAGAGTTCGGAGGGAACTTATTGATATTTGTTTGATTTCTCGATTATTTGGATGTGATGGGGTTGTTCCTTGCACTTCCTGCTTGCACTAGTGAGTTCCATGGTATGAGATATGTGGAAGCGGGGCTTAGCTTTAATGTTCTGGAAAATATTGCAGCAGGGGGCTGATAAGATTTCATGTTTTGGGAGATAGATAATGCAGCAGAGGGGCTGTTAAGGCTCTTTGTTTTGGGAGATAATCCAGCAGGGGAGCTACAGATGGCGCTCGCACTTAAGAACTTAGCAGTTAAGAAATGCAGCCTCGAAAAAATCAAAATGTAAGAACTTGGCCATGAGAACACGTGCTCAGTTCCGACGTGGTATTAACAACAAAAACCCCAATTTGTGGTGTAACAATGCGCGCACAGAAAAGAACAGACCCCCAAAACGGGGCAGCTGCAAGAAAAGGACTCATCATGAAGGTGATGAGGGGTGACTCGCGGGGTGTCCGGTGATCCCACCCAGCGGCAGTTTCAGATCAGCGGCGAGGAGGGGAAGTCCGTTTCAAAGAATACTGGTGCGGAGGGGGGGGGAGGGGGGCGTACTCGTATGTTTTGTGTATCTTAGCGGTTAGACCACTGACGACACGCGTCTTCGAGAGGACGGAGCATGGAGCATGGTTCCCACAGGACCAAGACCGATGGTCAACTGTTCCTTCCTATTTTTCCAAAGGTGCCTGAAAAATGTTTGCCCTGACATATCAATCCTATCGATATCGCTTCCCGCCTCTTCAACCAACTAAGGTTTTATGCCCAAGTACAGCTACCGTCTTCTCCTGGCTATTCCGTGCCTCAAAAATCTCTTGGTATCTCCCTTCGACATATTTTTCCCAGCTCAGTCATTTACAATTTTCTTTCCTCCTTGTACAATAATAGACATTCCCCAACTACATGAACCCGGTCTTCGTACTCGGAGCCGCGTTCCCATTTTACCTGGGTCGGTGCGGAGTGGAGGTGGGGTAGGTGCTAGACTTTGTTGTACAAGGATATCCCTGTCGCGTGAAATTGGGGTGCCTGCCACGCTGCGTGCCATGCACGAGAGCCAGCCATGTACTTGCCCCTTGAAATATTGAAGGAGCTCGGCCAACTGGCAAAGTTGAAAGAAAGGAAGACGTGTCATTCTTGATCGACACGTACTTCGAGGCCATCAAAGAACATGCCATTGCTGGCGACTGCCCACGAAGTCCGATCGGGAGGCCATCGAGTCGACGCAGGGGCGAAGAATGCTTACCCACACCAAATCCTTCGTCGCACCCACCGGTTCTCGAATTCAAGCGTCTAATCTTGCTGCTCTTGACAGTTCGTTGCCGCAGCATGGCGTACAGTACTCGTTCAAGTGAGCACGGGCCAATTAGGTGAACTGATCACTCGGCAGTCTCAGGAGCCTACCCGCCACCTTTACAACTACCGTGCGCATTTCGAGCCAGACCAAGTACGCGCCGCATGAAATTAATCGCCGTTTGACAAGTACAATGGAGATGCGGGTGCGGTGGTGGTAGGGTCGAGGGCTTTGCTTGAGGGGAGCGCCGTAGAGCAGGGAGGAGGTCCGGCCCAGATGCGTCAACATTCAGGTGATGCTGCGTCTATATTTCTACCCTATGATGATCTCGGAAGCTGCGGTACGTCGGGTCCAGAGGTTGCTGTTGAGCGACATTCTGTTATACTCTGTTTTATGAACACGCTGCTCTCAATCAAGTGTCCGCTTGAATCCACGCAGATTAAAAAACTCGGTGTCCTGGGGCCCTCGGCGTAGAAATAAGAACAAGAACGGTTCAACCCCGTTTCTCATGCAGATATTCCTGCTAGAAATGAAGAACTTTGAAAATACGACGAGGTGCTCAGTTTGAGGCAGCCAATAAGCATCGAGCCTCAGCCAAAATGAGCGGTTCTTAAGTGCGGGCGCCATCTGTATTAAGAAATCCATGTCTCGATGTTTGAGAAACGGCATAATTGGTGAAAGTTTTCTCTGGCGTATTCATAAGCGCCGGGTTTCTTGCCATTGTCTATTAATTGCCGTATTTGGTATTGATGGTTGTTCTGAACGATGCATTGGAGGAAGAATTTGGAATATTTTAGTAAGACATGCATGGTTGAGGCCTATGTGCTTCCGAAGCTTATTTGAAATTGGCCAATCAGTTGAAACACAGATTTGTGCGAGGAATTTGTTTGAAGAACTAGGTGACGCGTTGTGCCGGAGTCGTCCGTCCAGAGTCTATATGACGTGGCTCTGATGTAATGATCTTTGCTGAGTATTTTTCCAAGGATAACTCTTGTTGTTGGCTGCTTGATAATAAATATGGACATGGCATTTTCTCGAGAGGGGTGATATTAAAGACTCTCGTAAAGTTTGAATATCCGATAGATCCGGGAGTTGAAAGGATTTGTGGATACAAAAGATGAATGTTTTTTAGATTTATTACCGCTTTACCTGGTGAAAAGTACGGAGGATCTCGTAGATCATACCTCGTACCGAGTAAAAAGGGCTGTTCGTGTGTTTTTTTTGTTTTGTTTTTGTTTTTCTCCCATCATCGGACTCTGTCGTCTGCCCCTCTGGCCCCTATCCTCCACTTCTACCAGCTAGACGATCCAACCGGGGTCACATAGGAGGGGGGGGCTGGACCCCCTCCTGCGGTTCCTGCCGAGGTATTTTTATCGCGAGAAGGGTACAGCAATCCCTTCCCTCGCGACTTACGAAGACGATTATGGTTTACTAACAAACGAGCTTTGCAGCGCGTCGCTTTCATCCTAGACCAGGATTTATTTGTGAGAAAAAACTCACTCTGTCGGGACTCGAACCCATGACCTGGCCCTTAGCAGGCTGCGAGGCTACCCACTAGACCACCGGGGCGACCGGTGTGTACTCGGCAGGATACGAATCCGGAGATCTCCGGGGGGTACACAGATAGATATACATGATAGGTGTGATGGACTTGACTCGCCCGGCTCTGCCTGCCTGCCCCATGCCTTCCTCGTTCATCATTTATCAAGGACCTTGAGTCAACCCCTCTCGACAAGAGTCCGCGAGCGTGACAACATAGTACACGCGCCGACACCCCAAAACATGAATCGAAATTGAAGTGTGTTTGTTATAGCAAATGCGCTCCTCCCCCGCCGAATATTACACGCTGAAGGAACTTGGGGTATCCGGCGTAAGACCTGTGATGGTACACGATTGATAGGCACTGCTGGTCGTCGTTTCGCTGTCCTTTCCTGGCGGATCGAGTAAGGGCGCGAGGAAGAGTAACGAGAGCATGGCTGGCGGAGAAGAAGCGACGAAAACATGTGGTGCGCGCTCGAGGGTGGCGACGAACAAAGAACAGAACTCGAGCCGATTTTGACATTTATTACGATACCCATCAGGTTAATGCAAGTCGTGCTACTTCATTGTAAACCCACCTCGGCGGCCATCTTCTGCCGCCATGTCCACGACCGCAGACGGACCTCTCGCTTTGGTACAGCAGTACTGCTGTAAATAGGTTTCGCTGATCACACACACAGAACTCCGCCTTCTTTCCGCCGTACTGCTGTATACATGTATTCATCCCGAACAAGAGATAGAGCTGTGTAACCGCGCAACCGCCGTGCCACTCTCTTCCCCCAGCGGACTCAGTGCAGAGATATTCGCGTATGAGGCTCCCGTCCCCACGATGTTGGTGTGTTTTCGGTCAGTGCAGCACAGTAGTGCATCCATGCGCGGGTTCGGGGGCTCCGGGGTAGCAACGCACGACACAGGAAAGGGGGTAGGAGTTTAGTTTCACCATCTGCGGGTAACGAGGAAGACGGAGGGAACTAGATAAGGAATGTGCAACCGACCGATACATCTGAGGTGTGCGAGACAGGTCCTCTTGGCATAGGGTGCTCTCCCCTCAAGTCAGGCGCGCTCACGGAACTTGCACGCTGCGCAGATATAGGCCTCGCGAGCAACACGCTGATAACAGCAGCAGCAGTTCGAATCAGAATCCCCCGGGTTTTTTTTGCTGTGGTGCGCACCAAGTACCTCGAAAAGGACCCACGTACTGCTGTACGTACTCGGTGGCACCACCACCGGACAATAGCCCGGCGGTCGCCTCAGCGGCTGCGGATAGAGGGAAGGAAAGCAGTTATCATGTGGATGCTGTCGAACTGAGGAGGCAGCCACCGGACCGCGCGATTTGTATCGACGAGACGTTGGGGTGCCATGGATCAGCAGCAGCAGGCGGCAGGCGGCGGTTGTGAGGAAGCCGCCGCCGGCGAGGAAACAGCGGTAGCACCAGCAGCACCAGCAGCAGCCGGAGAGAGCGGCATGACGCCCTTCCTCATGGCGGTCAGAAGCGGCACGGGGCAGGCGATCGTGCGCCTGGTGGAAAACGTCGGCGACGGCGTCCTTGGCGACAGCACCCCCGACGGCGCGTCCTGCCTGCACCTGGCAGCCGAGCGGCGGGGGGATGGCATTGTCCGCCTCATACTGGACACATGGAGAGCGGGGCGGCTGCTGCCGCACGTCGATGCTCGGGATCGGCAAGGGTTTTCGCCCTTGCACGTGGTGGGTGTTGTGATATTAGCAGAGGCGGAGGCATAAGTGCACCACACACCGCGTAGTAGATATATCTGTTGCTGTTGCTATTGCTGTTTCTTCTCTTTCGACAGCAGCAGCGTACCCCTGTCTCTTCCCTCCACCCTCGAGCATGTTCGACGACGAATCGAAATAACCTCAAACATCCCCACATGGGCAGCACACCGACAGCGACACTCAACGCCGACAGCAGGGACAGCCCACGGTTTCCATACCTCTGCTCGCCACCGGACGCACTTGGCTACACTGCGGTTCCTAAATCGAGCTGGGTGCTCGACCCACGTACTGCCAGAGTCCGTACAGGCAGCACTGCAGACCACCAACCGAGTTGTTCCTCCGCATCTCATGTGCTTACCCGAAGTACACGAACAACACATCCCAACACAGGCGTGCATGCATGGGAATGTGGAGGAAGCGACGGATCTGCTCAGGCGGGGAGCGGCTGTCGGGGCCAAGAACGAGCGAGGCTCGACCCCGCTGCATTGGGCGGCGAGCCGCGGACACTCGAGGGTGAGAACCCGAGGTCTATTTACGGTATGATAGTGGAGTGACTCCTTAGGTCCCAAGCCCAATCATCCCTACGGCCAACGCACGGCTTTGCGGCCGCGGACTGGGCGAGAACGCGCTTGCGGCGCCGCGTTGTCGGAATGCAGAACGGAGAGAGGGCACTGGAAAGGACAATTGACCGCTAGAATCTACGCTCGAACAATCAGAGGGAGTGAACGCCTGCAGAAGGGAAGAGCCACTAGACAACAGCCGCTCCGTACTAAAATGCCACTTAGAGAACCCAGCTGCAAGGGAAGCAATGAGCATTGGTGTGAACTGCGCACACCGAACTGTATGTGTCACCGCCAGCTAGGCGACGACACACCAGCCCTTTTCACGAGCTCGTGCCAACAACAGTTACGGCGGTGGACGGACATCACGGTGTCTGTAAACGTACAGCGTGCATGCAGCACAGGATTTCCGGTCACGTATCTACGCATAACAGAGACGGCGTTCCAGATAGGTTGTAGGCTTGTGTTGCAGCAACCATGCGGAAAAGTTACTCTGTATAGACCTCAACCCATCCCCTTCTGTACATATATCTCGGCCGGTAGTCTCTGTTGTATGAATATGTTCAAAAACAAAGCTGCGTTGCGATAAGCCGCCACATATGATCTGCCTCGTTTTGCGCTCTCCCCTTTTTCCCACTGACATTTTCCCACTGAAATGTTCGCGAACGCGCGAAAGATAGGTGCATCTGAAACGCTATCCCCCCAGATACAGTACCTCGCCGACTCAGAATCAAGTTGCTGGTAATGCTTGCAGCCATTTCGCTGCAAAGTGCAAGTATGGAGTACTTTACTCCATGCGGCTTGTCCCGTTTTGAGCGTCCTGGTATCGGGGCCATTTCATAACAAGCGTGGGGGGCACGTTGCCTGGACCCTTCCCCTGCATTGCTGAACCGATGTAGTCCGCACAAAAACGAAGCAAATTCATGCCTATCCATGGATCATAAAAAGTAAGAAAAAGCCGTGCCCCTGGAGAAGAGGGCCCCATCACGGCAGAGCCGTCTCCTCTTCTCCTATGACCAGTGTGATTCGGAGCACCGCCGGAATCGTGCCAAACGCTTGCCCCCCAACACTAACCCACTTCTCATAGCATAGGTCGTGGGAATCTTGCCAAACGCCTGCCCCCCGACACCGCTCCACTGCTAATGAAACAGATCGTCAAGCTATTGGCTGGTGTGTACGGTGCGGAGGCGGCGGTGCCCGCGGGGAACGGGTCCACCCCCCTCCACTGGGCGGCTTCGAAGGGCAGGCGCGGGGTGATGAAGGTTCTTCTCGGAACTTTCTGCGTGCCGGTGGGAATAATCCTCTCTCGTTGTATTCTGTCTCTCTCTCGGTCTCTGTCTCTGTCTGTCTGTTTGTCTGTCGATTGGTCGGTCTTGTTTGGGTGCGGTAGCTCGTAAGAGGCCGAAAGAGAAAGCAAGTAGACTCAAGACCTTGTTGCGCAGAGAGTGAGAGACATGCAGTAGGCAACACCATCGCCATGCCGCATGCCCATGAACACATTTCATCTGCGTACCCCCCGGAGGCCCCGTAGACAGTATACTCTGCCGAGCACCCCAAACAGCCCCCCTGTTCGGTACGAGATACGATCTACGAAATCCCCGTCACGACTCTCATTGCCAGGTAAAACGGCAATAAATCAAACTTCGCATCCAAACGGAAATCATCCACCATTCATTCCAATTCAAACAATCTTCCAATGAACAATGTTCTACGAAATCTGTCGATCTCCCAACAATACACGTTCTACGAAATCTCAAATCTGCTGATGATGTCAAATTGTTATCCCCTAAAAGGTCTGTCAATCAACAAATCACCCTCTTGAGAAAATGTTGTACCAAATTCTCATGCAGTCAAACGCAAACAATTACCCTTGGAAAAATACCAAGTAAAGAGCAACATTACATCGGACTTGCGTCAGAACGGGGACGGGTAACTCCGGGAAAACGTGCCCCAACTACTCAGAACAAATTCCTCAGATACAAATCATGTTCAACTCAATGACCAGTTTAAATAACCTTCGGAAGCACAAAGGCTGCAACCATGAATTTCCGAAACATGCCAAATCCTTCCTCCAAAACACAGACATACCAGTACAAAAGCAAAGTCCGCAACCAAACCGATGAAGTCATCCCAATTGAATTCGGAAACAAGCGTCTCGTAAACGTTCATCAAAACTGATGCGGCTTCGATTCCTCCATCAAGGCTAATCCATCCAACCCCCCCCCCTGCTGGGACATCTCATATAAACGCAAGTAAAATCTCAATGTTCAATTCCATATCAACTCCGCAGGTAACACGCGGAAAATGAACGATCCGAACATGAACTACCCAAATCCCATTAGTCAACATCATCAATTCCATACAAAATCCGCAGGGAACACGCGGAAAATCCAAACGTGAACTACCAAACCCAATGTCAGAAAAACTGCTTGTTGTGCTGCGGCGGACAGCATGGTATCACATGCCCCCCCCCATGATTTCCGACAGCAGTGCAACAATCAGGCGGATTCCGCAAAACCCAGCATGCCAATTCTGCAATCCAACTCCACCATGGACAAAACCCCAACCCGAAAGAAGAAACCAAAATATACCAAAGAAAAGGTGTCACACGTCCAGCACACACCAGTCTGCCGTACAGGCCTGCTTGGAAAGGAAAATTGGTACTCCGCAAGGATTGACTCGTCGGGTACAGGTACATCGGAGGGACAGAGAAACGGTGCGTGCCCCCCAACGCCTGTACCCAGTATAGTATGTCGAACGCCAAGCCAACGCCTATGTATATCAATATTACCAGAAAAACATCGCGGTAACTACGAGAGAGAACATTATCCCAACAAAGAAAGAAAAACCAACGTGGAACAAGCCGTACGCAGAAATTAATCTGCCACCGCCATTTGAGATATTTTCCTGGCAAACAACAGGCCCCCGGCCGCAACATTCCATTAGCCTCCCAGAAAAACATCAATAATCTACCGTGGAATTTTCCTGCCATTGGCCGTGGAAAATAGTGTCCCTGGAAGGTAAAACGCAAGGGGACATCTCTAAGTAACCAAACCAAAGCAAATCCAAACCTGCGAATGCGCCAACGACAGGAAAAATTATTTGCAGACATTCAAATAACCGTGAAAAGTGCAGCAGCGCCTTTGTATCTGAAGATCAAGACACAAAACAACGGATTGCACAACACCAAATCACTGCAGAACAGAATACGCACTCAAACATGACGTGCCTTGGCGAGATGAAGACCCCAGCAGAAGTCGCGCTGCTTGCCGTCATTGTTGAACTCGCCCGATCCTCCGAACTCCCTTCTCCGCTTCACGGGCGCCCCGGCCGTTGCCCCCGGGACATCTTCCCAAGGTCGAACGGGGTGTCCACCCCCATCACCGGCCCCACGCTCCCAGTCTTCAGCCGGTACAGCTTCCCAGGGTCGAAGGGGCGCAGCAGTGCCCCAAACCAGGCCACATCCATCCCCTCTGCCTCTTCTTTGCTACTGCTGCCGCTGCTGCTGCTGCTGCTGCTGCTGCTACTGCTGCTGGAGCCATCGACCAGGTCGTCCACCCCGGAATAGATGGTGCCGCGCACCCCCGAACACACGGTGCCGGGATCGAAAGGGCGCGTGGACGCCCTCCTCTCGCCACAGACGCCATACCAGCAGTCACCAACCTCACCTGCTCACCAACCGCCATCGTCGCTACCGTCGTGGATGCCGTTGACCACCGCTTCTCCGTTGTTGGCCGCCCCCCCAACCGACGTGGTGGGGGAAACGTCACCGACGGTCGCCATCATAGCGGCCGGTGCCGTCGCCTCGGTCGCGGGTGGTGCCGTCACCGACGTCGCCACTCCAGCCGCCGATGCCGCCGCTGTAGCCACTTGCGCGGGCTCGCGAGCCATTCTCCCCGCCGCAGCAGCGGGAGAAACAACACCGTGGGGTGTCGCCGCCGCCGCCGCCGCCGCCGCTGGAACCGCCGTCGATGCCGCCGCTCCAGCTGCCGCCGCGAGCCCTCCGGGCGCTTCCCCCGCCGTCGCTGCGAGGGAAACACTACCGCCGCCGGAGGTCGCCGCCGTCGCCTCTGGAGCTGCTGCCGATGCCGCCGCTCCTGCCGCCACTGCAGGGACCCCGGCCATCCCCCCTGCCGCCGCCGGAGTTCGCCGCCATCTCCGCTGGAGCTGCCGCCGATGCTGCCGCTCCTGCCGCCAACGCGGGGACTCCGGCCATCCCCCCTGCCGCCGCCGCGGGGGGAACACTGCCGCCGGAGGTCGCCGCCATCGCCCCTGGAGGTGCTGCCGATGCCGCCGCTCCTGCCGCCACCGCGGGGACCTTCGGCCGTCCCCCCCGCCGCCGCAGCGGGGGGAACACTGCCGCCAGAGGTCGCCGCCGTCGCCGCTGGAGCTGCCGCCGATCCCGCTGCTCCTGCTACCACCGCCGGAACTCCGGCCATCCGCCACGGGGGAAACACTGCCACCGGAGGTCGCCGCCTTCGCCACTGGAGCTGCTGCCGATGCCGCCGCTCCTGCCGTTACTTCGGCCATTCTCCCCGCCGCCGCCACGGGGATAACACTACCACCAAAGGCCGCCGCCGTAGCCGCCGGAGCTGCTGCCGATGCCCCCGCTCCAGCCGCCAACGCGGGCACTCCGGCAACTCTCCACGCCCACGCCGCGGGGGAAACACGACCATCGGGTACCGCCGTCGTCGCCGCTGAAATCGCCGCCGATGCCGCCGCTCTAGCCCGCCTCACCTCCGCGGGACTCGCACGGGGCATAGGCAGTCGATCGACGGGGTTGCGTGGATGTAGTTGCCATGGGCGAATTTGGTGAACTGCACTTGCCCACCCATAGTCTTCGCCCCCTGCCAGTTCAGGACGATGTCGTACCTTTCCTGTATCGGTGAAAAAGACAGAAGGTCGAGCGCCAATCCCGGCAGAGCGCCAACACCCGTGCGCGTCACGCGCACATCTCTTTGGCAATGGAAAGTCACATCCAGGTCGCCAAAGAGTTTAACCGGAACTCGTCTTCCGTCGGAAAGCATGAGCAGCTGTTCCTCCGGGCGCGGTAGACGCCTGTTGTACACCTTCTTCTCCGGGCGGACCACGTGGATCTTGGCACTGGTGTGTCCCAGGAAAAACGCAGCACCGGGGAGATTCGGGAAAAGGGCGGGCATCGTACGCAGAAGTTGATGTCGCAACTGCTGCTGCGGCTGTTGGTAAGTCTGACAAATAGCACCACCACGAGACCACTGCTGCAACTGCGGTCGCGGCTGGGGTTGGGCACTACACGCCTGCTGTTGACGTTGTTTTTGCTGCTGCGGATGCTGGGCAACACGCAGCTGGCATTGGGTATTGTTGTTGTGGTTGCAGCTGCCTAAGCCTCTCCGCCTCATACTTGACAGCCTCCACAGCTCTAAGCGCCTTCACCAGCCTCTCCACCTCCGACTCGGCAGCTCGTAGCTTCTCTGCTGCGTTGCACGACCTCTCCTCCATCTTCATGCGCACAACTGCTGTAGTCTCCTCCGTGCGAAATCTCCTCCTTTTCCGCCAATTCCCTCCGCTATAATCTACACTTGATAAATATCCCGCACTCTGCTGTCCCGGTCCCCGATGGCCACCGTCCCAGCTATACACTACCCGCTGCCGTGCTGTCCCGTCCCCGTTGGCCACGTCCCAGCTTGGCTATATAAAACGTATTCGCCGCCCCATTGGCCCGGCACATACAGCACAGACGCCAATACCCACTACCAACACCAGGCCTTACAATATATTGTGTTTGGGAACGGTAGCTCGTAAGAGGCCGAAAGAGAGAAGGCTGACTCAAGACCTTGTTGCTTAGAGAGTGGGAGACATGCGGTAGGCAACACCATCGCCATGCAGCATGCCCATCAACACATTTCATCTGCGTACCCCCCGGAGGCCCCGTAGACAGTATACTCTGCCGAGCACCCCAACGCATGTCTGTCTGTCCTGTCTGTTTCTCTCACTCTCTCTGTTTCTCTCTCTCTCTCTCTCGCTCGTTTTACCTTTCTCCCTTGTTGTCTCGCTTGTTGCGTTGGGATTTTGTGGTTGGTGGCTTCTTTCTTGCTTTCTTGCTTGCTTCCGTCGATTTGTCGCGTCTCCGGCTTCTTGTGCGGCATGGGTGCGCGACGTCCCTGGCTGTTAGGATAGCGGAAAAAAACTCACTCGCACAAATGGTCGGATGGCCAGAATGCTTGCTCGAAATATGATGCCAACGCGTTTGGTGATACTCTACTAAGCACACTCTTGGTGCCTTCCACGAATGCCGAACAATGCCAAACACTAGGTGGACGTGAAGGACGACAAAGGCTGTACCCCGTGTCTCATGGCCGCCCTCAACGGCCACATCAAGGCGGTGGAAATTTTGTTAGACAGGTTTCAGTCCAAGGTATGCATACGTTTTTTTTTTTTTCAGGTCAGTCAGGGGTGTAAAGGGGTTGGTTCGTTCTGCAGTAGTGATGTCCAAGGAGGCGAATGGTTTACATAAAGGAGGGGATATGTTGTGGTACGTTTGTACCCATTTTGGTATTGCCGGATTAGCGCCTTGCCTGCTCACACGACAGAAGTGGCTTTTTTGGTACAGGTGGTTCCCTCGCCAAGCCTTCTCGGGATCCAAGGCGTGGATTTTGTTTGTGTGTGCGTTTAATGTCGTGTCGTTGGTTCTTGGCGTCTGTCTCAACTCCTTTGGCATAATTTATTCCGCACGGTCCCGCTGGGGATAACAGAAGGAATGCAGCTGGAGGGTTGCAGGAGGTTCATACGCCGCAGATCGTATTGTGAGCAGTTGGTGGGTCGTTAGCATCGCTGAGCTAAATTAGAGCTGGCGTTGAGACATTCCTAGTGTTTGCACCGGCTGTGGGCAATAGCAGGAGAACCTTGAACGTATTTCATGCGGTGATATGATGCCCACGTTGTCGCGTTATTGCCAACCTTCCTCATCCCCCACCTTTGATTCCTTATCCTCAACCTAGAAAACGTTTGTGTGATTGTCAATCTGCTGCCCGCAGTGACGTCATTTCCAGCCTGTCGCCCTAATGCCAGCCTTCCCGGCCGCCTTACCCGATATCGTCCACCCAGATTACGTTGTCCGACAGGAAGAGAACCAGCCTGTTGCACGCCGCTTGCGAGATGGGGCACGGCCGATTGGCCAGCACTCTGATCGAGAAGTATCACATGTCCGTGGAGGTTCAGGATCGCAAAGGTAAAAGTACAGGTGCTGCCTGATATGTTCTGCTCTTCATTGTCGAAGTGTTTGTGTCGTGAAGTTGGTGCTGAGATGTCGGCGTATATGTGTGTTTGTTGCCTGATTTACTTATGATCATGTCGTACTTGCTGGTGCAACTAGGGTCCCTATAATTGCCGGTATGTGCCCTGAAAATTCACAAGCACTACCGTATATGACACAAGATAACACACCCCCTTGGCCGATTTTCGAAGCTCGATTCCTCAACTGCAGGAACAGTCACAGCGCCGAAAACGGCGGCGTTAAAACCGTCTCGTGGAGTGCTTGTCGAAAATGTATCATTTCGTTTATGCATCCTCTTCTCCGTGGAGTAATCGAGCTAGGAAAATTGGTCCAGGGAGTGTGTTATCTTGTGTCATATACGGTATACCTGACGTGCACTATTCAACATACTAAAGGCGACTTGAAAATTCAGTGTGTGCGCCGAAAACACCACCAATACACCGGGCATTGGCATTGTTCAACCGCGGCACTAAGCAGGGACCCCCTCTGTAATGTTGTGGCAATGATGTTGGTGAATCAGGAGCGCCCTTGTTACGATCGCTTTGTGATCATACACTTCTGCTGCTATTGTTACGGCCTGCTCTGCCGGCGTAACAACACTTACTTTGACAACGATTGGTGCACTGCTGCGACAACAGCCCATACACCGTGGGAGACATGCGTGACAAAAACAAGCGTTTCACCCGCACTCTGGTTGGTACGTCATTCGCACCTGCACCTCTCGTTGAAGGTATAGGGGCATTGGCCGGAAACAGAGAGTGTGTTGCTGTGGCAAAATTACTCGTTTTGTTGGTTTGCAGGATGTAGAAAACGGGTGAGAATGTCGAGAGGAAGCATCAAAACGCCCTTCATGCCCCGTAAGCGCGTGAGTTGCATTGCCTTTCCCCATTGCGATTAGGATTTTTTTGTGTTTCTTTTGAACCGTGTTCTTTGTTCGTTGGATGTTTTGTGGAGGATCGGCTCTCCTTGAAAATCAAGTATCTCTGATTTCTCCAGTCTCGTCTAGGCTGACGGTTACAACTGCATTTACGGCCGGCCCTTCCCGTTCTCGCTTCCTCCGCATTGCGTGACCCAATCACGTGCAGGCCTCACCCCGCTCGCGAGAGCTGCCCAACGCAATCAGGTACGCTGCTGCTGTGCCGCTTTCTGTAGGAGATGCTAACCCTAACCCCATCCCTATCCCTAGCTCTAACCTTTCTGTTGTAAAAGTTAGTGCCTCAAGGTCGTGGATCCTTATGCTTGCGGGGGGTGTATGAAGGTTGTGAATCGGTAAGGAACGTTGAGGGTGGGGATGTCAAAGGCTGCTTTCGATGTGAACAGGTGGAAAGTATTCGTATTCCGTTTGGTTAGGTGTAGATATGCCTGTGTACAGGATGCTGTAGATGAATGGGATTCCTGGGTGATCCATCCATCATATAACCAATGCTGCGCAGTCTGACGTCCCGGAATGAATATCACGATTTCAAACACAAGCACGGACAACTTTCTGTTGGTCTGCTGTAGGCACTTTCTCGATGTTTTTTCTGCAAGGGGTTAGTCTTAGTATTGCTGGCGTGCAGAGTAGTACTACCAGGTGCGCACGCAGTCACTCTTCGGTCTTCTCGACTGCGAGTATGTAGACCTTTCCGGCTGTTGGTGGGAAGGTACGGCCAGTAAGCTGTTGACGCATGTCCGCAGCAGACCCAAAAGATGGAAATGTTACACTGGTGTATTCTTATGTATACTTCAATACAACATCTCCACCGCACATTCTTTTATTGCGTGAGATGAAGCCATGTGCACAAAAGCGCACACAACACATGTCACGCTCGTTCTGTTTCTTTTGTTTTTTTTCCGGGGGGTCATCCCATTAATTATGACCGCGGGTCCTCACGCTGTGTGTACCGTAGGTTGAGGTTTTCCGACTGTTGGTGGAAGACCACGGGGCTCGGCTGGACGCGGTAACAACCAATGAGAGCGGCTTGCTTCACGTCGCCTGCGAGTCAGGAGCGCTGGATGTTGCCAAGATTTTGCTGGAGGAGCATGGGTGAGTTTTTTTTTTTTTCCGCTTGTGCCTATGGTGCTGTCCCTGCACACGCTGTTGTTTGTGGCTGTCGTTGTTGTTCCCTCCGATGGCCTATTTATCTCCTTAGTCAAACATACCACATTCGTTCGTTTCCAGAATTATATAGCTTCAGCTACAGCCTCCAGGGCTTGCACCCCTCCCTTCCAATCATTTCTCTAGGTTCGATTCGAATTTATCCCCTTAGTCAATAGTATACTCTTCGTTGCCAGAAGTGCGATAGCGGTTTGTTCATTTCGTACTCAAACCCCCCAGGACCATCCTCCCCCCCCCCTTCCAATCTGACTCTAGGTTTGAAGTGGACGCGCGAAACGCAAACGGCGACACGCCCGCCCTCCTCGCGGCCGCCTGCGGCAACGCGGACGTCCTGGCCCTCCTCGTGGATACACACGGGGCAAGCCTGGATGCTCGGGACGACCAGGGGGTCGGGGCCCTGCACGTGGCTTGCGAGAGACGCCAGTCAGGTGTGTATGTTGTTTTTTCTATTGTCAAAATTGTCATCGACCGTGCTAGCCGTGGACCAATGAAAAGACGTCGGTCTCAGGGTGTTTGTGTCTTTATTATTTGGCATTGGCCGCGCCAACCGGGTGTCCAATAAGGATACGTCAACCTCAGGGTGTTTGCGTGTTTCCTACTGGCATCGACCCCGCTAACCGGCTGACCAATTGAAAAGCGTCACACAGCGGGATATATACGCCTTCACCCGTTCAAATAGTCATAGCGTTCTACCGACAGGGCGGGCGTGTAGAGGCTTTTTTTGCGTGCTGTGGAAGCCAAAGTTCCGAGTGCAATGATGCCGACCCTTGCCTTAACCTCATGCCCACCTCTGTCGAAAGCACATTTCTATGTTTCCTTTATCCTTGCCCTTATCCCCGCCTCCGTCGAATGCGTGTTCCTATGTTTTCCGCTTCAAGGTGTGGCTTCAGTTTTGCTGGAGTCGTACGGGCTGCCCGCTGACAAGGCGAGTCCCAGCGGAGCAACTGCCCTCCACGTGGCCGCCCGTGGGGGAGACACCGACCTCGTCGAGCTCCTCACGGGGCCCTTCGGCAGAGCCGACATCGGCTTGAGGGACGGCACGGGTAGCCAGGCGCTGCACATCGCTGCGGGGTGCGGGCATCTGGGCGTGGTCAAGGTTTTGGTGGAGAAGGCTGGTGCCGATTTAGGTGAGAATTGGGTTCGGGGGGTACTCCCATGGGAAAGGCCACTGATTTGATTTTCACGTGACTCGCTGCTATTAGGTAGGGAGGAGAAGAGACGGGGGGTACTCCGATGCGAAAGACCACCAATTTGAGTTTCATTTCGAGCCTTTGGGCAGGGCTGTTTCTTTGCTCCGGCGCTGCTGCTGTGTTCGCTGCTGTGCGCGGTGCTGCATATGAACCATACCGTTACCTCTCACACATCTGCCAATGTTTTGCTGAAGGCCGTCGAGCTTCTGGAACGTATCGCGCGTTCAGGACCCGAGCTGTCCACCGAAGTAGCCGCATCACTGCTATGTTCTCTCTATTCCAAAGCCACGTTAAGCAAGAAGCATTGATCAACGGCTTCGTCGCTGCTGTAACAGCCGCGGCACGAACGCTGTGCCAGCTATGTCCTATCTCTTCCGACCAAGTTCGCGTCACGCACGGAATGAGTGCTTTCACGAACGCCGTTGCTCGCTGTGCAGGAGCTCGAGATAGCTCCGACAAGAGCGCGTTAGACGTGGCAGTAGCCAGGGTTAACACCGAGGTCGCGGACTACCTGAGAGAAGCCCTCCCTGAGGGGCACCGCGAACGACATCGCTGCAAGAGGAGGAGGGGGTTCGAGAGAGCGGGCAGGTGGATGCGCCTGGCCCGGGCCGGAGGGTTTCTGCAGAACTTGGTGAGTCTGATTTCTGGCTCTGCCGGGGTACATGGTGTTCTGATTTTTACTCCGTCCGTGCCTTGGTGTAGGTGTTTATTGTTCACATCCCGAACATCCATGCTGACGTTCGCTTTGCATTGTATTCCGACTACTTTGAACAAAAACAACATCGTGTGTGGTAGCTTTTGTTGTTTGAATAGTAGACGATGTACCTGAGGCTACTATAGGGCCAATTACCTTACATTGCGCATGCTGTTTGGATTGTTGCACAGGCTGGTTGTGTAATGCAAAGCACCTCGCGAGAGCTATATTATTGAGTCATGCATGTCGGTAGCCTGTCGTTTTGCCACGCGCATTTTTACGTGAGACTGCTGGACCTTTCCTGCCAAATCAAGCATCAATCTACGTAGGTGTTCACGCAGGTGAGATATCGGGTTTTCCACACACCGCCTATTCGCTTCACTTATTAGGGGTGGCGTGTCAGACGGTTTTTTGGTGCCGCTGTGGTATGTGAACACAACATGCTGCTATGCTAGCGTCTCGCGTCCCACGTGCCCTCACCTTTGGCGTGTCATGAGGGTGTTTGGGTTAGGGCTAGAGGAGATGTTCGGTTTTGCGCACGCCGCCAAGACGCCTCACCTAGGGGTGGCGTGTAAGACGGTGTTTTCTCTGCCGCGGTGGTGTGTGGATACCACATGCTGCTGTTCTCACGTCTTGCGCCCCTCGCAGAACCCTCACCGTTGGCGTGTCATGAGAGCGGATGGGGTTAGGGTTGGAATTTGCTGGCATGTTCGGTTTAGCACACACCGCCAATACGCCTCACCAACCGGGGGGCGTGTCAGAGGGTCTTTTCTCTGCGGCTGTGACTACATGCTGCTATTCTGGCGTCTCGAGCCCCTCGTGCCATTATGTGCAGCACCGTAGGCGTGTTGTGAGGGGCGTTAGGGTTATAGGGTTAGGTTGAGGTTTCTAGACTCGGGCGCGCCTCATCCCTTTGTATGTCGTACCGTCAGGGTGTCGTGAGGGCGTCGGTCGTGTCGCGAGCGTTGCTCGGCTCAAGGTGAAACTGTTGGCGTTTTGGCAAGACGGCACCCGGATCCAAATACTGGAAGCACCACCAAACACTGGATTAACCGTCGAAGGACCCAGTTAGTTACAGGTTTTAGGTCCAGCCAAAATCTCATCGGCTCATTGGGAGAGGCTGTACAGCAGTCCCGAGGGACGAAGGCTGACTTGTTTTTGACAGGAAAGTTTCCCCAAATGCATGGGACACTTTCCATACTGAAGCCAAGTCAGCCAGTTTTTTCCAGTTCAAGCCTATGCAGATGTTTTTCCCACCAGGGGACACGCGGCCTGGAAGATGTGTTTGCGGCAAGTCAGAGGCCAAGGAAAAGCATCACACAGCAGTGCATCACACGGCGTATGCATACAACCTCACACAAGCGTTGTAGACGAAGGTTCCCCACCCGCGGATCACACAGCAGAGCCTAATAGTGATAATTACTGTGCGGTTCTTGTGCGGTTCTCAGACATTGAGTGCTGTGCCCCCCATTGTGTCCCCATGCTGGCGTCCAGTACTACACGGTTCAGGACCAAATCGAGATGAGGGGCGGTTCTATCGTATAGAATTCAGTGTAATATTGTGCAACCTACACCTCTCTCTAGATGGGTTTTATTCTGTGGTACTATTGCATGTAGGATTAATTGTGGAACAGTAAAACCGATTTATGACGCTGTGTTGCATGCGATTATTTTAGGATGGTCATAAATAATCCTATATAATACATACCTCTTTATATGTTATTTTTTTCTGTGATACTAAAATCTATACAACATGGAATCCGTAGACTTTAGTTTTTGCTAACTTGAGCTTCCGGTGTCTCTACAAACCACCCTCTTAGTTGAGGACCGTGTCCATCTTCCTCCGCACACTTTTTCGTACTTTTCTACGGGCCACACGCGCGCATACGTAGCCACGGTATGCCCGTGTTCCGAGATATCCCGCCCGCTGCTGTATGGGCTTCAACCTTGTCCTGCGGATGTCCACTGCTGCTGCTACCCCGCTAGCGGCCGTGTTCAACTGTCGCGGTGGATCGTTTTCCGCCTCCGGCAAACGCGCGGCCTGGCTCAGGCGCAACGGTTTCCGGGAGGACGCGTCGCGGGAACACCCGCGGTGCGCTTTCCCCGTGTGTCAAAGGCCCTTGGGCCACATCATCGAGACATGCTACCGAAAGAGGCAAGAGGAGGCCTGCACGGCGAAGCGCGTAGAGGACAACACCGTCCAGACCAAGCGTAGAAGCCAAAACAACCTCCGACGGAAAGAACAACACAGGCGTCAATTACGGAGTTACTAGTCATGGCAAGAAGTAAGAATGAAGAGAAAATGAAAACGCCTTGAGTGAAATGACCTGGGCTTCCGCCCAATGAGCGGCTCCCACGGCCATGGGTGCATCGTTCGGATGGAAAGTGTAGCGATGGACGCTTGGTGACCACGTCAAGGAACCATCACGTCTCTTCATTGCGCTTGGCCAATAGTTGGGAAGGTCCGTCATCACGTGACCTCTTCAAGTTGGCGTCAGACCCACACTGCCTTCTTTTGTCGATCAGAAGAATGCACTGTCGTGTCAGGCTCTAGCTTCAAGAGGTAACGTGCGACTATCGGCCGAACGCGAAGAAAGAGACGTGCTGGTTCGGTGACGTGGTCACCAAACGTCCACCGCCACACGCTTGATTTCGAGCGATCCACCCACATGAGTACCCCCCCCC